ATATTATAGAAAGGCATTAAAAGGTCAAAAAACATCATAGTATAGTAAGTCATAAAAACGCCAAAGAACGTCTTGCTATAATAAGTTATAAAAATGTCATAGTATAGTAAGGCATAAAAATGCAACAGAAAAGGTCATAGATAATAAGGCATAAAAAGGTAAAAAAAAAAAGTCATAGTATAGTAAGGCATAGAAATGTCATAATATAGTAAGGCAAAAAACTCTTAAAAACATCATACTATAATAAGGCATAAAAAGGCCAGAAAACATCATAGTATACTAAGGCATCAAGACGTCAAAAAAGTCATAGTGTAGTAAGGCATAAAAACGTTAAAAACAGTAATAGTATAGTAAGGCATTAAAACGTCAGAGAATAGTTAAGCATAAAAATGTAAAAAAAAATGTCATTATAACAAAGTCTGAAAATGTGATAGTACAGTAAGTCATAAAAAGGTAAAAAAAAAAACATCATTGTATAGTAAAACATAAAAATGTCAAAAAACGTCATAGCATAGTAAAACATTAAAATGTCAAAAAACATCATAGTATAATAAGGCATAAAAACGTCATAGTATATTAAGTTATAAAAATGGCAAAAAGCATCTTGCTATGGTAAGGTCTGAAAACGTAAGAAAAAAGTCATAGTATAGTAAGGCATAAAAATGTCAAAGAACATCATAGCATAATAGTATAGTATAGTCATAGTGTAGTATAGTATTTTAAAAACAAATCATAGCATGATAAGGCATAAAAAATGTAAAAGAATGTTATAGTATAGTAAGGCATAAAAATGTCATAGTATACTAAAGCATAAAAAAATCAAAACATCGTAGTATAATTAGCCATTGAAACGTCATAGTAAAATAAAGCATAAAAACGTCAGGTAACGTCATGGTACAGTTATGCCTAAAAAGAAGTATAGGAACCATATCTAGAATTACCTTCTCGCAGTTGTATGCCTGCACCACTTGTTTCAGGTTACATACTCGTTCATCTAGAAACTTGCGAAATATTAACCATATGTGTGAAATTCTGTTGAAATTTTGTCGCGTGACGTCTTAAGTAATAGCTAATAAGTGTTTTTTGAGGTCACACTGACCTTGACCTTTGACCTATGACCACCAAAGTCCAATCATTTCATCCTTGAGTCCACCTGGACCTTTTGTGTTAAATTTAAAGAGGTTCCTTCAAGGCGATACTGAGATGTCACATTCACAAGGTTAAAACTGTGTTTTATGAGGTCACAACCCCTGTGCCCTTTGACCTTTGACCACCAAAACCCATCAGTTCATCCTTGAGTCCTCATGAATGTTCATGGCTAATTTGAAGAAGTTCTGTCAAGACATTACAGAGATATCGTGTCCACGAGAGTGTGACGGCTGCTCTCTTCTTACAGAATGATTACTTAATGAAAACAGAAAATAATTTACACAATAATCAACACTGAAAGTTCCCATAACACGGACATTTAAATAGACCAGCCTGTGATACATGTTTGAGCTGAATGTGGACTCAGCCAACCTCCCTGTGCATTTTGTGATTTCAATCAGTCCAGAGTGAGTGGTGACACTGAACACTGTGCTTCACTGTTGTGTAATCCCACAGCATTAACATGTGAAAGAGCAGGCACCGCTGACTGAGGACAGCTGTTTTGTTCTGTTTTTATCATAGCACCATCGTCTCGCCTCATAAATGAATATTCACCTCAGAAAGAGGAGCCAGGCCGATGTAGCCATTACTGTTAAGCAAATGAAATGCAAAAGGCAAACTGAATATTCTTGCAGGAAGATACCGTCCTGGTCTTATTTAAAGAGGCTTCAGAGGGTTGTCAGACCCTGAGCTGACCTCTCAGGTACATCCAGCAGAGGAGGAAACCTCCAGCTTCAGATTCGGCAGATAAGGGGAAAGTTAAGGGAAACTTAACAAACAATACTGAGTGAACAATTCTCCATGTTTTGCACCTCATATTTTATTAAAAGGAGTAAACTGTTTAACGTGACTGTTTTTTTTTTTTTTCCAAACTGTCCAAACCATTCACCTGACGGTCGCTGAATCTGATTCACTGTTTCTAATCAAAGGATGAAACCGCACCTGTGCCGTGTTTGACTGACAGTCGCACAATCAGAGCCCAGTTAAAATAAGAGTTTCAGAATAATCAGAGTAATTAACACTTTTTTTCTCCAAAGTCTTTAAGATAATGTTACATTTAGTCTTAATGAACAAATGCTAACTTTTACTAGAAAGAGGAAGTGTAATGTTGTCAATGATTCAGTGAGTTAGACTGTGGGCTACAGCTCTGGCCTAATTGTTTTTAGCCTATATTTCATATACATTTTATTTTGGAAAATTAAATATGCTGAAGTCGTTATCAGTAGTCCCTGTGTGGATGTATTGACAACTGTCACTTTACTGACTGTAATACTGAGGGAAACCTAGAAAGGTGATGATTCTCAGGCAGGTTCTGCAGTTCTCTTTTTAACCACAATAATAAATTCATGTTTGCGAGCCATTGCACTTCAGAGGGGCGCTGTTTCACCAGTTTTGAGGAAACTCAATAAAAACTGGGGTAGATATGACCTTGACAATGATACATGAATATAGCAGTGGGGAAAAAGTACTCAGATCCTTTACTTAAATAAAAGTAGCAGTACCACAGAGTAAAACTTCTGCATCCGTACGAACAAAAGTATCTGCATGAAAATACACTTAAAGTACCAAAAGTAAAAGTTCTCATGGTGCATAATGACCCATTTCACATGAATGTATATTAATGTTGCATCTGGAAAACATGAAGCTAATTTTGAGAAGTTAAATCTGCTTAAATAAATGTAATATATTTTATTTATTTAATGACTTTATACTGAAGGGTGAGAGCTGTGAGAGCAGAGAGGGAAAATTTGGTTTTCACATTCCCAGTCAGATCGTCACTCAGACATGTAATATCATGAATTATAAGGCAGGAGTTTAAAATGTCTAATCTTAACTGTAGAAGGATTTTCAGTGATACTTTTATCAGAGGTCCCATTGTCTCCAGTTCATTTCCTAGAAAGAGACTTCTCTTCTTAGAAAGGTGTCTGGAAAGCACAATATAATTTGGACGCGGTGAAAACGGAGAGACGGTGTCCATTTAATTAATTCCAAGTAATTACTATAATAATCAAGAGTCTTTTAGTCAGCGCACAGCAGGTCAGATGAAAATGTGTCGACACAGCAGGAGAGCGTACAATTCAACTAATATGGATTAAAGAAATAATTCCAATGATAAATTAATATTAACTGTGTTTAAATTGATTTACAGTTACATTATTGTCAACAGTGTTGGAGGAAATATTCAGATTCTTTACTTAAGTAAAAGTATAAATAGGCTGTAAAAACACTTTACTACATGACAAGAAAAGTCCTGCAGAAAAAAACACCAGTATTAAAAGTGAAAGTACTTAATGCACTAATATAAAAGCAGGAGTTTACTGTTGTAGTTGGTTTTTAAACAGTATCATATAGGACTCCAGAGAATTATTAATTTGTTATGGATTAATCTGCTGATTATTTTCTTACTTTATTCAGAAAATAGTGAGAAATCCCCGTCACAATTACCCAAAGTGACACTTTGACAAACCGACAGTTCAAACCTGAAAATGGCTAAAATAGATTTTAAAAAGCAGCAAATCTTCACATTTGAGAAGCTGGAACCATCATTTCACCTTTGTCCTACATAAGTTACAGACATTATTTCTGCACGGGTCCAGAATATTAGAAAGAAACCAGCTGCGTGAGAACGATGATGGTAAATGAACGGGATGAGATGCGGCACCCGGCCTGCACCGCTGTTTTAGTCGCAGTCTAATCCCACATTAAAGGGCCAGCAGGCCGGCGCACAGATTAACTGGTGCTCACCGCTGAAACGGGTCGACTCATGAACCGAAGCTGAAAGGAGTCACTGAGCAGACGAGTCAAAAGTTCATCCGCACATTTTCTTTTTTAATTATTTATTTAGAAAAATAGATTGTGACAGAGCATTATGTCTAATAACACACTGAACTGGGTCACTGGCTGTAACACCAAACTACTTACATTCACCAGGGTAAAACAGAAGCAGCGGCTTTTTTTTTTAACTCGAGCACATCAGTGGAGATATATTCAACTCTGCAGGTCGCAGAATTCACTGCAAATCAAGGAGAGCTCGTTCATTTCCAACATAAGTACCTGAAAGCTTTCCTGACATGCTTTGACACTGTTCCCTCACCCCCATCCACAACCTGACATATGGCAATCACACCCACCCTCCACACCCCCTCTATAGAGAGGGATCATGTCCATAAGGGGGAAAACAGTCCATCCATCCATCAGTCCGTCCATCCATAGGAGGCAAAAGCAATGAGAAAGTCCCTCCAGCACGTTGTAGTACACACAAGCAGCTACGACACTGAGCCGCATGCAATAAGAAGATTAATGCATTTATGGAAAAAGCTGCAGAACCTACATTTAGAGCTGAATGAATGGACACGAGCGGAGAGGACATCTGTTTAAGGAGATAACTATAGGAGCTCTTATCTCCTCTGACTTTACACATACAGTAGATGTGATGATGAAAATACAAATAAAACACCAGTAACAGACTATGTAATCCTATGAATATTACATAATATTAATTCAAATTAAGTATTATGCAACAAAAAGGTGGACGCTCACATATACATCTCCGTCACGTCGTCGCCACGGTTTGAAATCAACACCCGCCTCTGTAGCTGTGATTTCTCTTATGTAAGCAGTTCATCTATAAATATCATAGATTACTGTTCATTAACTGCTGATGTGAACATCAACGCCGCCAGTCGCTCTTCTTGAAGATTTGCATTTCAACCAGGAAAAAAAAAAAAAAAAAAATCCCACAATCCTGTGTTTGGCAGAGCAGACTCACAGCAGTCACCAGATAAACAAACACATCTTTCATCCCATCGGCAATTTGAAAAGCTACTTCCTGTTTCCCACAGTTCCACGGTTCATGTGCGGCAAAGACAGACACGAGTATCTGACGGGCCAATCAGACCAAAGAGGAGCCACACGGCAGTGAAGCAGAGGAGCGACTGGGTCTTCTGGGCCCGTTGCCCTGTGACGCCCGCAGAGAGCTGCCCGTCTTCAGGCTCCAGCAGGGTCCCGTTGCGGAGGCTCTCTGTGCCGTTCCCCATCTCCTCTCGGAGCTCCTGCTGGAGCAGCTTGGAGATGAGGCTGTTGAAGCGGTTCTCCGTGGTGGAGGCGATCTCCGAGGAGGCCGTGGTCAGGTTGAGTTCGCCGGGGTCCACGCACGTGCCGTTCACTTTGGCAAAGACCACCTCGCTGAGATCCAGCCCCGCCACGGAGGAAGGTGAGGCGCAGGGGATGTCCCGCACCAGCTTGTAGTTCTCCATCCAGTCCTTCAGCCACTCCAGTGAGCAGTCGCACTCCCAGGGGTTCCTGAAGAGGTAGAGGCGGCCCAGGAAGTAGATGGGCTGGAAAACGGGGAAGGGAAGCGTGGTGAGGTTGTTGCTGTTCAGGTGGAGCGTGATCAGGCTGGTCAGGTTCTCAAACGTGCCCTCCTCGATGAAAAGCAGCTGGTTCCTGTCCAGGTACAGGATCTCCAGCTCCACCAGGTCACTGAACCAGGTCCTGGACACGTTAGTCAACTGGTTCCCCCCAAGGTTGAGCATCTTGAGGCGGCTGAGGCCCTTGAAGGCGAGCCGGGGCAGATCACACAGCAGGTTGTCATTGAGATAGAAATTCTCCAGCCGCACCAGGTCCTGGAAGGCCTGGTCGTGGATCACGTTGATGCGGTTATCCTGGAGATTCAGGTACCTGAGGCGAGAAGAAGAGATGTTTTACAAAGGTGTGGATCTCACAATAAAGTCTTTTTACAACGACTTTTATTGTGATAATCAATAAGTCGTTTCAGTCACGTTTCAAGCAAAAATACTGAAATATTTTTCCTCCAAATTAAAATGAAATTCTGCTTCTCATCGTCATAACTCACATTAAACTGAATTACTGAATATGATAAGTTTTAGACATTTAAAGACATCACCTTGGGAAATTTTTGACAATTTATGGACTATTAGACTAATTATTAATTATTATTAATAATTAGTAATTAGTTATTATTAAAATACTCTGCAGTTTAGAAAGGGGGAGGGAAAGACTGAGCTGCAGCAAAGATACTGAAACTTTTCCCCACAGACACATTGGCAGGAGGCGGGAAAAGCCAAGACTGAGCGCTGAGAACGAGATGTGCCTCTGCAACCAGTAATTAAACTGTGTCACAGTGGAGGTGGAGACACAATGAAAAGGCCAGTGAGATGAAATATGTGAAAATCCTCCCACTTCACAGTAGAAATATTAAATGTCTGTCTTCTTCAGCAGTATCATTGTAGTTATTTATCTTCATCCACCAGCGGAGGAACTGAGCAGTGGCTCTGGTGAGGAAGTGAGGAGGACATCTTTGATTTTACATGGTTTGCACTGACTATAATGGAAAAGCCCTTTCTCAGTCACTCCTGTAATTTGACGTCTACCTGATGTGGTGTTTTCATCACTAAGAATATTCAGTAACTTCTGGTGAGTCCAAGTTCTTCCTGTAAAACATTTTATGTACGAAAACCCCAAAGTCATCAATCAATTCAATTTTAAAATAAATAATCAAATAAATAATCCAAAGAATAAATTGTGTAAAATATAGAAACGAGTGCAGTATTTGTGAAATGAATGTGAGTTGAAATTATTGAAACTCTTCGTACTTGTATTTCCCGTCAGGTTTCATGACATATTTTATTTTATAACACTTTTTCCACTGTGGATGAATTAACGAGGCTGCACAGGAAACGCTCACAATCTGCTGAGCTAGTTAGCCGGCTAGCTAGATAGCATGTGCAGCTTTGTGAAGCTAGATGAAAGGAAACATTAAGTTCTTTGCCTCTGAGCTCCTTTTTATTTATTACTTATTATTATTATTCATTTATTCCTCTGACTAGTTAACAGGTGCTAACCAGGTTCATTTGGTGGCAGTTGTTTGTTAAAAACAACTTAACGTGGGTGACAGTTCGCTAACGTCGCCACTGTCATCATGAAATGTGACACTGTGAAATAAAAATGTCATGATGAAATAAAAACAGACATTTTAAACTGTATTTTGGAAATTTCCATCATGGAATAAATATAATACACAAAGTTCGTAATTTTGTAAATTATTTCATAATGTATTGTTTCATTTATTTATTTTAAATATAGTACTTCATGTCATTATTTATTTCATAATTGTGTATTTTTATTTTTTTAAGCTTGACCACTTTAGGCCTCCGTATTTATGAGCCTCTGAGTGACTGAAATGTCCAAATATATAGAGACAGCTGGACCATGTTCCTGGATCAGGGCTCGCTAAGTACTACAAGTGTAATTGTAGTACATTGAGGTTTTACCTTCACCTCCAGCCGGTGACTTACTTGAGACTTCCCAGGCCCAGCAGGGAATTGTAGGCCACGGCCTCGATCTTGTTCCTCTCCAGGTAGATGTGCGTCAGGTTCTCCATGCCTCTGAAGGCTCCGGGGATCCTGCGGAAGTTGTTCTGGAAGCAGAGCAGCTCCTTCAGCGCCGTTTGCTCTATGAAGATGCGGTCGGGGATGTTGAAGAGGTTACAGTCGGACAGGTCCAGACGCACCAGCTTCTTCAGGCCCGTGAACGTCCGCGTGTGAAGGTAGCTGATGTACTCGTTGTGCGCCATCTTCAGCTCCACCAGGTTGGCGAGGCCCTGCAGGGCACAGGTGGGATTTCATCACACTTCCTGCTTTTACTCCACATGTTCACATTTCAGAGGCAAATATTTTACTTTTTTCATCCACTACATTCATCCGACAGTTACAGCTACTAGTTATTTCACAAAAGAAGATTTTAAATCAGCATTTATTAATAAAGGATCTGAAGACCCCAAACTGTCTTCAGCCTCAGCTGCCTCAAGAGAACAGACTTTATGGCACTTTTATTACTCACTAATGAAACATCTTTACTTCCAATTTGTTTGTTTGCAGAATAAGGTTAAAATTAACTTAAAGACGCAGTTCACTCCAAAAATATAATCCCACCTAAACCCGGCGGTATCTGATCATGCAGATGATGTTTTTATTTTACTTAGATTAATTTTTGTTGAATTTTGAATCTTTAGTAGAAAATAATTCACAATCTGTTTAATGTCCCGATTAATCTGGACACTGTTTCTGTGCAAAGCTGTTTTGGTTTTTCAAATGTAATTTTGTGATGGTCTGAGCAGCACTAGCTTAACTTAAGAAAATGTTTGTTTGAATTTGTCTTGGATGAACCAGCCCTTTAACACTGGAAGACCCTCATGAGATACCGAGTGAGATGTATTAGCATGTATTTTGATGCAGCTACTAAATGTTTTTTGTCATTAAAATATATATATAAACACATATATAGAATATTACAGCCTTGACAGAGGTTTGTGTTTTCTTCTTAAATTGCTTTATTTCCAATAAAGACTAAGAGATATTGACCATGTTTATGTTTTACTGTAACCAATCCTGAACCTCTTTTCTAACGATGTAGTTTATCATCCACGTGTCCCAAATTTAGTTTTGTCTGTTTTAAGGAGAAACTTAAAATACAAAACAAAAGTTCAAACTCAGCAGACCTTGAAAGCTCCAGGAGTGATGAAGGAGATGTTGTTGTGGTCCAGAGACAGAGACTTGAGGGAGGGCAGGGTCCCGAAGGCCCGCTCTGACAGGAACTTGAGCCTGTTCTTGTCCAGGTTGATGGCGGACGCCTCGCAGGGAAACTCTTTGGGCAGCTCAGCCAGGCCGGAGCGGTCGCACAGCACGCTGCAGCTCTTCTCCTGAGTGCAGGAGCAGGACGCCGGACACGCCCGGACGCACGCCCACCGTGCCAGCACCGCCTGAGGCAGCAGGCACAGCACAGAGACTGGAAGCAGGATAAAGGGGGGGTGACATAAAAGACAGATCCAGATAAAGACGTGAAAATGTCTTTACTTACTCAAATATAGTGCTATATATATAGATTCATCATTTTGTCTAGAACACGTCAAAAAGGAAGGTGAAAAAAAGGGCCCAGAGTGACGTCATCAACAAGTTTCTTATCATTTAAAACAAAGAAAAGCAGCGAATCAGAGAATCTTTGGTATTTACACTTTAAAAATGACTGAAACGATGAATTGATTATCAAAATAATTGCTGATTGAGCTTCTTTCAATCAACTAATCGATTTATCAGCTAATTGTTGCAGCCCTACTTCAATATTGTGAACACACTTTGTATGTAAATCTCTGCAACAGATAAATATCTGATTACACTTCGGTTTCTGTGGGACTTTGTGTTTAAAGCTGCAGATTTGCTGTATTTGTTTTACTTGCTTTGTTTGGGAGTGAATGGAGTTTTGTTTTTGCTGATTACTGCAATATATTCTGTAAATGTATTCTGTTTGTTAATCAGGATAGAAATCATTTCCAAAATCTCCTCAGGACTCAGAATATGTTGTACTTCACTCTGTGACTTAAATCAGTGGTTACACCCCCCCCCCCCCGCCCCCCCCCCCCCCCACTCCCCCCCCGCCGCCCCGGCCGCCCCCCCCCCCCCCCCCCCCCCCCCCCCCCCCCCCCAAAGCTGCAAACATTTAATGTCCTGAATATAAACTGATTGTATTTCTACCGATAACAATACTGGAGAGATGAAATGAGATTTCCCAAAATGTCAAACTATTCCTTAAAAGTGTTTACACAGAGAAGACAGGAGTCTCTCCTGCTGCACTAACAGGGAAATCAACATCCTCATGGTTTGAATTTGACCCGTTTCCTTGACGACCATTATCATTTGTCAACACTTATCAACACTTTGGTTTATGATACCTGCAACTCTAATGACATTCCTATCAGCCATAAGTAGCATATGTTAGCATGCCAGTGCGATGTTAGCATTTAGCTTAAAGCTCCACAGAACTACACTCTAAATGTGATAAAGCTCCTGTAGGAGGCTCAGGCTTTTAGGGCTGAAACAATTAGTCGACTCATCGATTAGTCGATCGACAGAAAATGAATTAGCAACTATTTTGATAATTGATTAATTGTTCAAATACATGTTTTCAAGCAAAAATGCCAAACAGCTGATTCCAGTTTCTCCAGTTTGAGGATTTGCTGTTTACCTGTTTTTATACGATACGGCATTTTCACTATTTTCTGTCACTTTAGAGACCAAACCACTAATCGATTACCTGAGAAAATCATCACCCAATTAACTGACTAACTAACAAAAATCTACAAAACATCATCAATGTTAGTCAATAAATAAAAACAAAACACACAGATGCTGCGTTCGCCCCTTCCTGAGATTAAATGCTTGCATTGATTTTTGCAGCAGCATGAGGACGCCGGTGCAGCGATGATTTGATGTTTGAGTCACGTTGACTGGCAGGTTGAGGGCTGACCTGCTCTTTGCCAGCTGCTGGTGAAATGATGATGTGATTAAGAAAGAACAGCTTACATCAGAGATTAGCCTCACAACAATAGGTATTGTCTGTGCCTGGGATTTCACCCTGCAGCCAGTCCACGTCAGCCCGACTTCGGCCCTGCCTTTTAGTCTGATCAATCAATCACCCGGCCTCCGTAGATGAAAAGTCTTTTGACTGAGGAAAACCCAATTTTCTGGGTGGTTTGTGGAAAATAAAAAGCTTTAAGTTAAGGAGCAACTTAGTCGATGCTGTGAAATCATTTTTACAGCTGAAGAGGGAAAAACACAGTAGAAGAGTGAAGGGATTGAAACTGACCAGTGAAAGTGATGACAGTCATTACTGTAGTCTCTCATCTGGGACATGCCAGGATTAACGGAGGTCTGAAATGGCACAAAAAGAGCACAGTAGCACTTATGATGAACTATTATGAATTATATAAACACTGTACGTGACAAAGACAGTTGTAGTTTTTGCCTCTTAAATTTAAAAGAAGCACAGAGTTACGTCTTATATAATCTTTGAGGATGCTAATTTACAGTATGTCACAGACAGGTACAGGCCCCTCCCTTCCTATAAATGACCCCTAGACTGAAGGACTCTTGTCTCTTAGGTCGATTTGTGTCCCTGTGGTCATTCTTTGTGTCTATTTTGCTTTTCTCTGTGGTCATTTTGCGTCTTCGTAGTTGGTTTACATTTTTGCAGTCGTTAGTCGTTCCTTTGTGGTAATTCTGCATCTCTTTTCGTTTTGAGTCTCTCTGTACTTGTTTTGCATTATAGACATTTAGCATCTCCTTGCAGTCATTGTGTCTCTTATTGGTCATTTTTTGTCTCTCTGTGGTCGTGTTGTGTCTTCTAACTGAGCTCTCTGACTTTTCAAACAGGAAATATTAACAGTCCCTTCATACAGATGCTCTGGCCCAGGGGCCCCTGACCTGTCGGGCCCGACAGGTCATCCACAATCACCACTGTTAACCTGAGCAAACCAACATGCAGAAATAGCAGTGACTTACCTGTAGATCTTTCCAGACAGTTGCATCCATGTGTGTTAAAAGTCACAATCCAGATGTTCTCGCATGTGTCCATCCTCCCCATCCCACATCAGTCTGCACGCTGCACCTTCAGCCGCATAACTGAGCTCACTGGACGTTTCTGCCTGACACAGTTCTCCTGGTGGAGTGTATGTGGTTGTGTTTTTACACTTCATCCCCCCACCTCACACACACACACACACACACACACACACACACCAAAAAGCCATCTCTTAATGGCAGTCAAATCCCCTGGATGGAGTGATGGGTGGATGGAGATGGAGATAGGCAGCTGGCAGGATTACAGAAGTAAAGCAAAGCTTTCAGATCAAACGGCCAAGGCAGAACGGTAACTTAGGAACACACAGATTACACCCCACACACACACACACAGACACACACACAGACACAGACACACACACACACACACACACACACACACACACACACACACACACACACACGAGCATGAAGTTGGAAGTAAAACTTATCAGAAATGCAGATGTTGAAATGGATTAGAGGATCAGCGGGCCATCAGCGGTGCGATCTGATGAGAGAGGCGATCAATACAATTTGTCAAATAAGATTACTTTACTGTACGAGCTGTACGGACCTCCGTGTTTCTCCAGAGAGTTGAATGTGTTACTGTAGTTCAACCATGACACCCAGACTGACAGAGACGCAAAACATTGTGTCGCCTGTCATCTTTGTGGTTGTTTTGTTTCTCTTTGTTGTCATCTCGTCTCTTTTTTAGTTTTTTGTCTCTCTAGTAATTTTGAGTCTCTGTGTGGTCGTTTGTGTCTCTTTGTCATTGCTTTGTGTCTAGCTGAGGGGCCCCCTGACCTCTTGGGCCCCTGTGCCTGTGTCCGTTATGTCTGTTCAGTAAGCCCCCACCACCACATCCCCACCACCACATTGGTTCACCGGACTTGAAACGTCCCTCAAACCTTATTTGTCAAAATGACACAGAAATTATACAACAGGCTTTTAATGGGTGTCACTGGCTCGGCGGTTATGAAACCTACTCAGCAAATTCGAGACCATGTGACCTTTTCAAGAGTAACACGAAAAACTCTCCCAAAAATTGGGGTAAAAACTGTTTTGTCTTTCCGCTGCTCAAAAGCTGCCACAGATGGTCAGAGTGGAGCGCATCAGCAGAGGCATAAAATACAGGTCAGGTTTCTTTTTTCCAGCAGAACGAGTCTCTTAATAAAAAAATATGTCACACACACTTACCATGCTCTCTGCACATCTGGTTACCATGGGGAGGAGGCGAGTGACAGCCCTCTGGATTTGGGTCGTCTGGTTTTCAGCTCACCTGGTCTGACTGCCTGCAACATGTTACACCCGTATATCATTGTTGAACACCAAGAAAGTGAATCTGCTGCTATAACGGCCTCATCCACTCTTACGGTTTCCTGGCTGCAGGACTTAGCTCCCACTCAGACCCAGGAGCAGTCGGCACTTTCACAGCAGACATTTTGAAACTCACTGAAAACATTAACCATGGCTCTGTTCTATTCAAGGGTCCCAGTGAGCCATGAGCCTGAACCTGAAGCAGCTAAATTCAAAATGAATTCAGCGATTATTCGTTTTATTGGAAATAATAAAATAATATTTATTATATCAATAATAATAATAATAAGTGCTTTTCCTACTGTGACGTGTGAAAACGTTCTTTCACAGCAAACTGGGAAAAACTAGAGATGCAACAGTTAGTCAATTAATCAACTAATTGATTAGTCAATGGAAAGAAACGATTTGGATAATCAATTAATTGTTTTAGCTGTTTTTAAAGCAAAGAAAGCAGAATATTTGATGGTTTCTACACGACTAATCAAGAATAAAAATACCTGTTAGTTGCAATCCTAAAAAAATCACTTCCAGAGGACTGCTGGTCGGGACATCTTAGTGTCTCATAGTGTGTTTAGTGAACAGCTCGCGTTTTCTTTAACAGTTGAGATTTGATCATCAATGTTTTTGAAATATTCTGATTTATGGGACGCTCTTAAACACACCGTCTGTAACTTCTGCCTCTAGGGGTCGCTCAATCAAAACAACAACAAAATATGGCGTTGTGTGACGCTGTGAAATACTGTAGGGTCATAGGAGTTGTTGTCTTCACCACCATTATCACCACCAAGCTTAAAATTATGACATGTCCTCAAAATTACTATATTCTACGTGTCTCTTTTATTTTTTTAAAATGCCCAAAACAAACAGTTTGTTTAAACGAAAAAAAATAGTAATTGTCTCGTGAACGTTGAGATTGCTGCTAGTCTTTATTGTTTGTCTCAAAACTTACAAACCAGACTTTCAGGAGGTTTTTACCGGCAGCTGAATTATACACAGAGGTGTCTTCCTCTCCAAGTTAAACAGACCCAGTATTTATAACCAATATAAAACACTGTATAAAGCAGCCAGATGCTGAAAAAACAGAAAAAAATCATCTAATTTTCAACTTCCCGACGGTCCGTGAACTAACCATTTGTGAAATACACTTCCATCAGAAAATATAACCAAATTTAAGATTGGATTTGTGATATTTCCTCAATCTTTTTATTCTACGTGTCTCATTTTTAAACATCGAAAAAACAAACAGTTTTGCTCGAACGGAATGATTTCAAGTCAGTTTTTTAACGGAGACTCAGGGGAACGAGACGTCGGGGAAACGTTGGGAGCTTATTGCTGCTAACCTTCGACTGTTTATCTGATAACTTACGAACCAGACGTTCAGGAGGTTTTTACCGGCAGCCGAACAGAGGTGTCTTCCTCTCCATAACAAACAGAGCAGGGGATGTAAATCGGTAGAAACACCGAATAAAGCAGTTTCACATTAAAAAGTCAGCGATTCACTGACGCTATTCTGCGGACACAAGACGTCTAGGAGCGGCTACTTACCTTTTGTCTTTAATAACTTGTGATCCAGACGTTCCGCGGGTTTTTACCGGAAGCCGAATTATCCACAGAGGTGTCCTCCTCTCCATAACACACAGACCAAGGGGTGAACATTGGTAGAAACACTGGATAGAGCGGTTTCACTTTAAAAAAATAATTGATTTATGATGCAGTTCGGAAGACACGGAACAGGACGTCTCCAACGGCTGGGAGCTGAGCTGTCTAACGTTTCCTCAGCTTGTTTCTCTGATAACTTCAGATCCAGAAGTCCGACGACTAAAATCCTTCATCTGGTTCAAATATTGAGCTGAAAACCACCAAGGTGTAAAAAGCGAATCTTACAAATGTGACTTAAAACTGGATTAAAAGTCAATTTTGAGCTTCTGGCGGGCAACGGCAACGCCGAGGCCTGCGCTTAGAGGATATGACGTCATTGACAGGCGACCAATGAAAGTTACCATCATTAAAATCAGATTTCACTGGTTTGAGAATTGATGGAATGATTTGGGAAAATGTAAGAACACAGCTGAACACAGAACACAGTCCTAGTTGTTTTTAGTGATTTTAATGTGGAAAAATTACATATAACTTTACCTTTCCTGTTAACATAGAAATGTAATATATTAATAAAAGAATATATTTCGTTTTTCATGTGTATCCATTAAGTTTTGTATTTTTAATGCAGCATTGAAGTGATACTGAGACACAGTGAGCACTGTCAGTAATGGGAATTTTGTCTTCACGTGTATTACTAAAATCACAGATGTGTCCTCTACACCCAGCTCAAACTAATACAGTATAATACAGCAGTCTTTCAATAATTCCAACTACATGAAGGTCGTTGACGTTTTGTTTTAGTCGTTGATTTATGGTGAATTTAGAGGCTGCAATTTGTAGAAAATATCATGCCCCCATAGAATTGAATCTTTGGAGATAGTGTTAGTTAAAAAAGAAAAAAAAAAAAATGTGCAAATTGCTTCCAGCACCCGTGGAGAATTTATCAATGTGTTGCTGTTAGTGCTGGAACAGGAAGTGACTTCCAACATCATGTTTCCACAAAATTGGAAAAAATTGCACCATCTTACCATGGTTGTTTCCATTTTCTTTAGTTTAGCAAACATTAAGATACAACTCATGAGCTGTTAAAGCAAAAACACTGAATGGAAAAAGGGTAAAGTTTAAAATGTTGAAACCATCAAGTCACTTTAGGAAAATAAGACAATGGACACCGTTCAATTTACAAATGAAATCTTTATATTTTTTTTGTCAAAAAGAAATGAATCCCGTCCAATCTATACCAAATTGATTTACACCGCCCGGCTGCCCTGTACCCACACAAGGCAGCATGCGGCTTGCTACAGGTCTTCTCTGCACGACTACAGTAAACAAGTCTTCAGGAAACATGCTTGATTTTTCAAGATACTTTTGCATTCAAACATTTTATTTTGGTAAAATCATACAATTGCACAGCTGAGTATTTCCCATGCAGTGCAGGAGCCTATAAGCTATTACAGAAAGCAAAGTCTACATCTAAAGAGCTCTAGGGTTCTCAAGAGAACGTGGAACAAGTCTCGGGCGCTGCCTACAACGACGCGCACAGCACGGACTTCCTGTTCATCATTAAAAACAGCTCCAACAGCTGCTCTGGAAGCGAATGCTGCAGACCTGCTCCACATTCGAGGAGAACTCCAGAGGCGTCATATATGCAAATACAACAATGAGAATAAACCACATGTTTGTTTCTTTAAGGATTGCCATGTGCCAGACATTCACTGGAGAAAAATAATTATCAGGTCAAATTAGAGTAAAGAATCAATAATGCACACAATTGGAGAATCTGAACACTTCTGCACCGATATGCTTAGGAAATTTATTTGCTCTTTTGACAGCTATATTCCAAACCTTGGCATGTTTTTTCAATTCCATTTCAAATTTTGATGACCAATTGGTATAATCTGATAGAGATGACTGGCCCTGAGAAGGCCCCGAAACAGCTGTGGATATTATTTACTGAGTCCAATGTATCTTAAACATTAAAAAGCTCACGCTACCCCGAAATATATAAATTTCACGCATACAGGTGACATTCAACATTCAAGTGCCAGTGTTTTTTGTACTGTCTTTTGGTCAAGTTTCTGAAACTTTCAAAGAATCACTTTGAGGCTTACAAAAATAAATATTTGTCAAAAATGCTTAATAAATTACACAAAACTAGCAGCAAAAGTAGAATCTAGAAATCTGTGCAAATGGCTAAATTCCCCCAACTGCTAAATCCCCTGGTCCCAAATAAATCCTGGTTTAAACGTTGAGAACCCTTCCCCTTTGTAAACAAGCTGCGTTTTTCACAATCTCCTCACACACAATATTTGGAAGCTTAAGGACACATAGTCAAGACATCTATATAAAACTCTAGATGTGCAATAAAAGAACTTTTGTAAAACTTGATGGGCACGACGTACAAGGGCCTACACACCTAAATCAAGTAGCACCATTCAATCTCAAGTTCTCAACACTGTCAGTGCATCCGCTTTTAGTTCAATTTCTTAAAAAAAGGTTTCAAGGCACAACACACCCGATGAGAAAATTGGGAGCATTTAAGAGGTGAAACGCCCCTATCTCTCCTCCTCTCGATGGCTGCTCCTCTCTGAGAGGAAAAGCCTGCGCTGGCTTCACGAAGCCACCGATTTTTTTTATTTTTTATTATACATGTCTGAGCAGATGAACTCCCAGAGGGCCTGACAGTACTTTAATGTTCCAGAAAGGAAGTGGACACTCCCCGTCTTTGGCCACCTCCACAGTTACACTACGCAGCAATGGAAACCAAAGCCACCGACGATGGCGGTGCACTGAAAACCGCCCCCCCCCCCTCCCCCCCTTTCCCCCGCGCCTACTCCCTTAGTTCCCCCCTAACCCCAGTGGTCGGAGTGCTGCTCCACCCCCCCTGCTCCGTCCCCTCGCTGTTTTAAATTGATAAACCTCAGTGATCATTCAAATGCCTGTCTCTTAAAGATGAACCATGCCTCCAACGCAGCTTGAAAAGAGAAAACGTTTGTAATTAAGTTAAGCCTGCGACTCAGTTCACGTGTCCTTTCTCCTTGACCAAAAAACAAAACACTTGCAAGCGTAGAATACCATCTGGGCCTCGTGGTTGCCGGTCGATTCAGTAAACACTAACACCCACGCTATGCCCTCCCGATGCTGTGGTCCTTTATGCAGCCATTTTGAACTTCACTTTCAAGATGGCAGGCATTTTTTGTTTTGATACATATTTGTAGAGAAACAATTAAAAAAAAAAAAAAAAAAAAATTTCAATTTTGCACACACCTGCACCAAAAATGTCTCAAGTAAAAATAAACAAAAAACACCGCCCACTTAATGTAGCTAGCACTTGGTAACATACTAGCTGCCATAACACTGTCAAGTCAATTGAAAAATGTGGAGTAACAAGATCCAGCATTGATTATTCTTGCTTATACCTCAGCGATCGTTGGCACTGAGCTTAATGACTTCTGTGTTTCTTAAGATTACAATAGGAATGGCTATTTTAAAGACTACCATATCCATAAAAAGGAGCCTGTCCAGGATAGAGTGAGCAAAAACAGAAAGAAAACAAATGTAACTTTGTCCCTCGGGACCGTGCGGTTGCTTCACAGAGTGGCCCAGTTTGTATTAGATGTAGTAATGGCTCCATTAGCTGTTTGACTATAGAAAAGGCTACATGATGTTCCTGCGATAAATTTGAAGTTCAAATGGAATCATGACTCCGAGAGCCACAATACCCCAGTGTTTGCCAAGGTTTGATTAAGTCCAAGCTTATTTTACCTTTCTAATATATATATATTTTTTTTCACCAAACAAAATAACTGTAAAAACAAATTTAGAGCTCTTGGCCATGTTCATCTGGTGAAATGAAAACATAGATTTCCTGTTTAAATTCAAAAGGCACAGTACATTAACATACAAATGATCCTCAGGTTATTCAATTGGTTTTTTTTTTTCCTTCCACAAAAAGAACAAAAATACTTTTAACGATGAAAAGTCCGAGGTTGCTATCGGACAACGCATGTCAGCATCCATGCTCACTCTGAGGTGTGCGAATCTCTGCGGTCTCCGGTGCGTTGCACGTGCTGGTGACTTTCCTTTTGCGTCGTGCTGCACTTCCTTTTTGAGAGAAGCGAATGGCAGAGAACCAGGGTTGGTAATGTACTGTGTGTCAGTGAAGCTACACAGGGAGGGTTGTTATGGTCTGGCTTAAGTTAACATGTGGTTTCCATTGGGTCGGGTTGGCATGGCAACCTATTCCTTAAGCGACTAGTTGCCCCACCAATCCACACTACCAGAGTGGCTGTAGTTTCCTCCATAGCCGTCATTGCTGTAGAAGTTGCCACCAAAGCCTCCTGTGAATGGAAAGGTCAGAGGTCAGGTGACAGTTGAGATGCTTTTTAAAATTGTTATTCAATACATTTTTATTTTGAAAATACTGATTTTAAATTAAACTGACTGATTGGAACCTGTGGCTTTTATGCAGCAACACGATTCTACAGAGAAGTGTTGACGGTTTCAAATGAACCACAGATAAAAAAGGGCAGAAAATACTGGTTCCTCACCTCCACCAAAGCCACGGTTTCCTCCATGGCCTCCAGGGTTACGTCCTGTGCGGTTGCCACTGAAGTTTCCAGAACCACCGGACGTCTGACGGTAATCTCTGGCTCCGAAACCGCCAGAGAACCTAAATAAGACGAGACAAGACAAGAACGTGTGTTCATTAGAAAAGAAAAATCCTCAGCAGCAAAACAAGTTACAAAAGTTAAAATGTTTTACACGACAAATTCAGGAATCAGCTTATAAAGCCCTGTCTAAGCTGGTAACATGTGGTTTAATAAACATGTAAGATTTTCCAGAGCAGACCTACTTGTTGGCCATGACCCACAATACTTAGTGATGTTGACTGATATAACTTACTGGGTCTATTCGCCTTTATCATTTCCAAACATGGTAATCCAGTCATCGACCACTCCGAGGGAGAGGATATGGTTTATGTTTAAGAGCACATGACAACCTGGTTTGTAAAATGACGTCTAGAACTATCATAAACCTTTAAAAAGCTATAAAGACACTCGGGTGTGGCCTGTATGCCCTGTGAGTTACACCTGACGACAAGGTGGTGTAGTGTGTGACTTACCTCTTTGAGCGTCCGCGGCCTGTGCTCTTGTGCTGGTGCTCGTAGGCCAGGCTCTCAAGCCAGGAGGGAACCTCCTGCTTGGCCTCCACCAAGATGTCCAGCAAATCTTTGGTTATGTTGCTGTTTTTGTCGTTAAAGAACGACGTGGCCAGACCTGCACAAAACAGAACCGGAGTCAGATTATACAGCCACTTAGTTTTTATTAAACATCGAAAATATATATATATAAAAAAAAGATTCATACCGAGGTTGCCCACACGTCCCGTACGGCCAATACGGTGAACGTACTCCTCAATGTCACTGGGCAAATCAAAGTTAATGACGTGCTTCACATTGGAGATGTCCAGACCTCTGGCAGCAACCTGCAGAAGTAGAGGAGGAGGAAAAAGGTTGTTTAAATATCAAGTCAGAGTCAAGGGAGAAAACCACTGGGTTCATTTTGTCCACGTTTTTTTATTATTAAGCTCGAGTTAATTATCAACAGCTACGAAAGTCTGCCAACAATGTCCTTCAGCTGAGCCAAAGCCACAGTTTCCTCTGTGACCCAGTTGGCCTGGTTGTTCTCCAGGGAATTTCCAAAATGTCAAAGAGACTTTGTAAACTCAACATTTGGTTTCCTCCTCTTTGCCATTTAACAGACACAGTAACAGTCAGTTTAAATAATTAAATTAGATTAGATAATTAACCAACGTGGATCTAAAATGGAAACCGCTCATTCCTGGGTTTGATACTGTAAATTTCACATTAATCAAAAGGTACATTTAGCAAACTGAAGCAAATGTTTCCATTTACCCAAGAGGAAAAACATGTGGCTCCCATTTTTTTTAAAAAATATCTTAAGAGTTAGCTAAAACTCACATGAAAGATTTTGTAAATTAAATCTTTTAATCTTCATCTTGGAGAAATGATTCTAAATCAGATCTGATCCAGTGTTTAATGCCCAAAAGTGGTCTAAGCAGGTGCCCCATGTGTAGAGGCTACAGGCCTCGCTGCAGTTGGCCCTGGTTCGAGTCCCGCATCTGACGGCCTGCCTCCCCATTTCCTGTCTCTCTACTGTGCCATGAATAAAGGCATAGAAAAGCCCAAAATATATATATATATATAAAAAAAAAAAAGTTGTATGATAGTCGTGTCACTTACAGCTGTAGCCACCAAGATGGGGCAGCGTCCAGAGCGGAACTGGTGCAGAGCTTCCTCTCTGTCTCTCTGGGATCGATCTCCGTGGATGCTGGTGCAGGCGTAGCCCTCGTGGTAGAGGAAGTCTTCAAGAGCGTCGGCTCCTTTCTTGGTTTCCACGAACACCAGAGTCAACGAGTCTTTACCTGTGCAACCGCAAACAAAAGATGATGAGACCAAAGAGGACGAGGGCAGGATCAAGAGAATGAAAAATAAATAAATAAAAATAAATAAATAAATAAAAAAAAGAGGAAAAGAAGGTGGAAAGAAATCTTTGATAACTGGGAACGGGGCTATAGATGGATATTTGAACCAAAAAGATGGGAACTTACAACTGTCATACTGAAAAAGTTGCAAGTTTATGAAGTAAAAAGAAAATCAAACAACCAACATGAAAACTCAGAGATGGAGACAGGGGCTGCATAAGAAGCTTTTCATTTACTGACAACCCTGGCTTCAGTTTTTCTGCTGGAGATGAGATGAATAACTTAAAAATCTGAATTGTTAAATATTAAATTACAATCTAGAAATATGGCATTAATGGCTATTGGAATAAAAGCTTGATAATAAAAATGGCTGAGGAGTGATGGGGAAGGACAGGTCGCATCATTCACAGCTAACCCTGTCACTGTTTTACCAACGCACTCTGGCACAAGCCCGGAAAAACAAAGCTACATCCGTCAAAGCTCCATCCTCTCCATTATTAATTAAGCCTGTGAGTTCTTTAAAAACAAAGCCCGGATCCGGCCAATCAGACAAGCTAAATTTTCGAGGTGGTAACTGGCCACCTACTTCGCCATTTCCATGCAGTTGACCCCTCTCCCCCAAGCCTCTTCACCTTGGTTGAATAACGGCCAATTGTGACTTTTTAAATGAGGCTGTCCGTGACATATATTACACATCAGTTTGCTTTTTATAGTGGCAGCTGCACCGGTTACCGTGGAAACAGCACAAAAAGCAATGTGTGTCGTTTCTTTGGAGGTAAAGTCAAGTTACAGAACACAGGTCTTTCTACATAATTCAACTAAAATAAAAAATAATCAAAAAAAAAAAAAGGAGTGGAATTTATTAGAGCGGTTTAAACTAAGATCTACAGAACCTTGTTGTTGTCGTCGTATGTTCACTGAACAGGTTGGTGCCATTAGACCTGCCACAGCCATCTGACTCATATGGAAGCTGAGAGCTCTTTCTATGACAACCGGCCAACACGACCATGTCGAGCCAGCTGACATTAGCGCCGGTGTTGAAAACACACTGCAGCGCTACAAAAGGAACTCCCTTTTCACTAGGTCTATTTGGTGCGAGGCGAAAACATTGTCGTTGATCCTACAAGCTCTTATTGGAAATGGAAGAAAATGAAAAAAACAAAAACAAAAACAATAAAAAACAGAACTGAGGCAGCATGTCAAGCGGGGGGGAGCGGAGGGACAGGATGAGCTGTGGGATGTGATGTTTCTGGCTTGTGGGTCAGAGTGAAGTTATGGTATGTTCACACTTACCCGGTTTCTCTGGGGCCTCTGTCACATTTTCCTGAACCTCACTGGGAATAACTAAGATAAAACCAAACCGGCCAGTAAACGTAAGGCTGCTCAGTACACAACTTTCACAGCTTTAGATCATCATGAGAAGCAAACCCCCTTAAAAAAACACGGCATGTGATGTCAGTGCCTCCTCACCCCTGCATCACACTGTTTTTAAATCTTATCTTTCTATAACGAACAACATTTGTTAGCAGAGATGTAGCAAAGTCAATATTAGCTTGATATGGGGCAGACTGACAAACACAGGATGATGGGTTAGAGCCCAATGTGACATTCATGGGAGGAAAAAAAACAAACACTGATTTTTGTGTTTGCATTTCTCACCTGTGGCATTGAGCAGGTCGAGGAGGAAGGACCTCTTGTCTGTCTCCTCCACCCAGACCACTTTCTGGGTGATATTTTCTGAAGTGGAACCGACGCGTCCCACTGCCAGGAAAATGTAATCCTCCAGGAAATCACGAGCCAGGATCTACGCAAACAAAACGAAACGACACGAAACAGATAAGTACGCAGATATTTGTCACGTGAAGCAAGACTCTACAAACGTGTTGTGACAGCCTCATACACACCTGGATCTCCTTGGGGAAAGTGGCACTGAACATCATGGTCTGACGAATGCCTTTAGGCGGCATCGTATCCTGCTCCACGATGCGTCTGATCTGGGGCTCAAAACCCATGTCCAACATGCGGTCAGCCTCATCCAGGACCAAGTAGCTGCACAGACACATTTCATTTAAAAAAACTGACAAGAGCTGAAACAATATATTGATTTATCGACTATTTTGATAATCTGTTGTTTCAGTTGTGTTCACGGTTCTCAGGTGTGCAGGTTTATTGTGTTTGTTGTATGTCAATGTGAAACAAGTATCTCTGGGTTTTTGGGAAAATAATTATAAAAATAAAAATTATGGGAAAATAATATATTAATATTAAAGCCCTAAAAATGACAAAAATAAATACTGGAGTCGGTCAATTTTTTATTTTTAACAATCTGAGTGGACCCCTGTGTTATACTGACTTGCAATAGTCCAGACCGATCTTGCCCCTCTCCATCATGTCAACCAGACGTCCAGGTGTGGCCACGAGCAGGTGACAGCCTCTCTCCAAGTCCCTGATTTGCTGACCGATATCAGCTCCTCCGTACACCACGCAGGGACGCACACGAGAGCGATAGGCAAACTAGAAAGATGGAAAAAGAGGAAACGATTAAGCTTCAAGAAGTTTCATTTGATGTAGGGTTGGGGTTAGACGTTGCCAGCTGGATTCTTGGAGCTCACCTTCCTCGCCTCATCGTAGATCTGCAGGGCCAGTTCTCTGGTGGGAGCCAGAACCAGGGAGATTGGGTACTGTTTACGTCTGCCGTACCTTCCGTTCTCCTGAGGATGGAAGAAATAATGTTTATAGGAACACGTCGAATGGTAACGCAGAATATGTTTAATTACTGTGCCTTCTCTCTTTTCCCCAGTACCTGTCCGTTGTTCTTGGCTGCCTGCAGAGCATCTCCTGGGCCCTCAGTGTAGATCTGACTCAGCACTGGCAGCAAGAAGGCAGCGGTCTTACCAGAGCCTGAAACACAGCAGGGATCAGACACACACTGTTTACAAGATCTAAAACTTAAGGCACACACTGAATGATCCATCAACCCATACTTTCTATTTTAAAAAGATCTGATCTACTTAAAGCTGCCATGTAAACACATTGAGAGTAAGTAGAAAGACTTACCAGTCTGGGCGCAGGCCATCAGGTCTCTCTTAGACTTGATGATGGGGATCGCATGCTTCTGGACTGGGGTGGGGCGAGTGTAGCGACTCAGGGTGATGTTCCCCATGACGATCTCCCCCATGTCCACGTCATGGAACTACAGAATAACCACACGCACCATCAGTATGAGACACAAACTGTCCTGTTACGTCTTTAAAAATGTTAAAATGGTACATTCAGAATGAGTAGAGACTTACACTTTCAATGTGGGGCGGGCAGTTGCTTCCAGTGGCCTCAACAGGGATATCATCGTATTTCTCAAAGTTTATCCCAGTGTTGCTTCCAGAGAAAAGCTCGCTAGAAAACGAGGGTTGAAAAGTTTAGCTGAAATGCAGACACAAGATGGCCGACAGTTTAGTTTTGTTGTAATTTTTGTGAGTAGAATCGGTCTTACTGTTCCAGGCGCTCATTGGGAGCAGTGGGCTTGGACCAATCGTCGTCTCTGGAGTCCTCCACCCAGCGGCTGTTTCCTCCGCCCGCAAAACCCCCGCGCTCATATCTGCGCACAATAACATGAGTCTGTAAGCCACGTTTCATTCCAAAAAGCGGCAAACTATGCCAGGCAGATGTCTGAAATAGCTGCAGCAAGCTAACAGCTAAACTGAATAAGCTAGTAACTCAGCAGATAGCTACATATTTCAGGAGAAATCTGTAAAATGTGGATACAAGTGCTAAACTTGGCACAAATCCCCCTTGGGTATTTCTCTTTTCATAAAACACGTTTTAGATAATTCAAGATAGCCGCCATTTCCAAGATGGCTGACATTTCTGGCAAGGTAATGTCTTTTTGCACTAAATTCATCCACAATTTTACTATATTAATGATCTAGATGTCAAACCAAACATTTTACCAATGTATAAGGTGAAATATACAAAGAAAGAAAAAGAAAAACCTGTGACCATTTTAAGTTTACCGACATTTTACAAATTAAAAGTCCCATTGAATTAGAACAATCATAGCGAGGTACAGGAAAGTGTCACAAATACATTTTACTCAAAATATTTAACTGGCATTAGGAATCAACATCCTCACAGTTGAAAACATAAGATTAAATTGCAATTCCCAAATCATCCAATTCTGTCCAATGGGTAGAACTATGTAATTATGTAAAATATGTGTATTTCATATGCCAGAAATGGCATCCATTTAGGAAAATAGTGGCCTTTTGAAATTTCAAGTAATGGGATTTTTCAACTAAATGGCCTCAGAGGGATAAACACACCAATTTTATTCCTTGTATCCACATTTGAAAGATTACTACATTTACCTGAGGCACTACTGGTTAGTAAAAAATAAAGCAATGGAAATGTTCACTATCACAAAATAAAGACACCATTAAGATGTTGTATTAAAACAAACAAAGCACTGTATATTATTAAACGTGACAGTGTTTACAGACCTTCCTCTTGAGCCTGCCCCACGGTCATTGAAGAAGGTCGACTTGGACCTATCATTTCGTCCCCCAAAGCTGTTGTAGGCAGCGTCTCTGGGAGCTCCTCCCCAGTTGCCGTCTTTGTTGTCGTAATTGCCAAAACCTAGAATGAACAGATAAATACTGTCATTGATATTATTGGAGTTTTTTTTTTTGCAAAGCTGCGAGAAGTCATCACGTTCTTACCAAAGGCGGAACATGGTCTTTCCTTTTTTTAAAGAAAAATGCCATTAGCCGTTTTAAAAATCACCATGTTATTTCATCCTAAATTAAACCCAGTAACAGGACTCTGATATATTATAACTGCATGGATAAACAAGGGTGGGGGAGGGTTGAGTTAACATCTAAAAACTACACTGTCACCACTCTATAGCTAGAGGCAGATATTTTAAGGCACGATAGGATTTCCCCACCTGCATTTTGTAATGGTTGATTAAACGAGCCTCCACCCCTGTTACCACGGTAGGCACCACGCCCACCTCTATCATTGCGAGGGGGTCCACGCCCTCCGAAGCTCCCGTTGGAGCGGTTGTCGTGGTAACCATTCACAAATCCATTGCTGCGTCCGCCGTCCCATCCAGGTGAGTCTTCACGAGGAGACAAAAGGACATGTAGAATGAGAGGCTTGCCAGGAGAAAACTCTGAACATATTAGTGTCAGTAAGCAAGTAGAAATCTGACTGTGCTTATAGAGTCTTTGCGTGCTGACCTGCGTTCAGCCTAATTCACTAACAGGTGGGATACAAGCAGCTTTATAATAATAGACTAGAAACTGGACTGAAATATGCTGCAACAACAGTTGTGTCATGGGTCGAGTTAATGTCGTCAAGTGGGGGAAAAGTGAAAAGCAAGTTCTACATCTGAATAAGAGAATGGATGCAGAGAAATCAAAGCACTGTGAAATATCTAACTTTTTAAAGAAGACACTGGCTTTGTTAGAAGGATGACTTCTCTGTACCAAGACACCTACTGAGCCCTGCCTCTGCCTGTATGGGACATTTACCACAACGATCTGCCCAGCTTTGGACACTGGCTGTGTCATCGTTCCCATCGGAGGCCACACTGTTATCAGTGCAGGCTGAGGACGAGGCTGATGGGAAGGGGGGGGAGGGACAACAGACAGTTAGCACCGCCAAGGTGAGGCTTGCTACGTAGCTGATGCTTTGCCACAACAGCATCAAGGGGAAGAGCGGCTGCACAGATCTAGTCTCAGATTCGTCTTTGCTTTGAATGAGAGTTGGTTCAGCCAAATGGGGGCTGATTCTAGATCTGTGGCGAAAATCATAACTCGTACCTGTCGGCTAACAGGTAACTGCATCCACCATGATGCCCCCCTTCAAGTAAGCACAAGGAAAAGCCTTGTAATGCTTCACACAGGCACACACTGATCTATGTGCTGCACACCAGCCCACAGCTCGGACAAGTTAAGATGTCCCATGGTTTTTTTGTCTCCGATATCGTTCTGAGTAAATAAATTCAGAGGAAATGCAAAACGCATACTGTCCAGTATTTTCTGAACAAGCTCACAACTTAGTGTGCCCATGGTGACAAGATAAGGATGTTGGTCAGTTCAGTGAGTAATTAGGGTCTCAGACAAATCTGGTTTGCAATCAAGAGAGGGAAGTTAAAGTAATTATCTCTATTTCAGAAATGTGGCGTTCAGACATCTTCCCAGTTTCACTGTCGCTTCCAACCGTTTGCTCAATTTACCACACTGAACTTTTTAAAAAGTAAAGTTCAAATGTATTTTGTAATTTTTTAAATTACTACAAAAATAGCAATAGGATTTGTGGTAGAATTTAGTCACTCAGACTTGTATCAAACAAAAATGATGCATGTGCCCCCAGAGCACACCATGCAGCAGTGTCTGAGCCTAACGTTCTGCAACAGCAATGCAGATAACTTCAGTTCACGTCAGACCACCAAATACAAACAAGGCTAAATAACAAAACAATGCGAACTGCATCTTGATCAAAAAGCTCGCTCTTAAAAATCAAGTAAAAATGCTGTAGTAGCCAGGAGTGATGCATCATGGCTAACAAACATGAAAGCTGTAGTAGAGAAACAATTCCCCAATTCCAAGCAATGCTGAGTTCTCCAGATTTGTTATGCAAGCTGTGATATTTAAATAATGAGGAAATAACTGACACATTTCACAACCACTACATGTATAGCCATCTTAATTTTTGGTAAAAACAAAAAAACATTAGTATGACCCTGTAATTGCTGATTTTGAAAAGACTAAAAAAGCCAAGACAGTTTGGGAATTTCAATCCTTCGAAGTACGGGCTACAGTGATTCAGTGAATCCCACGTCTCTTGGAAAAGGAGAATACATCCCCTCCTACAGTCTGACATAGTTCAGTCCTGATGCACCCCCTCCCCTAACCTTGATCATGCCACAAGGTCTGCCAGACTGCAGACTCTACAGATGCTTGTGCAGCAACCCAAGCCTGCTCAACTTCAAAAAGACCACATGTTGCCATGGTAAAAATTATCTTTGATAACCTGCCCGCCTCAAAGAGAACAATTCCCTTACATTATCATCCATTAAATGCCGAGTACATGCCAGCTAAGGATTGTTCTACTGATCGTTCAGTCTCAAATGCCAAAGAAAAAGGCCAAGGAGAAGCAGTCTACTTTGAAATAACCTCAGAGAAACAAAGATCCCTTTCAGACAGAAGCTACAGGTAAGGAGTATTCAGTCCTGTGCCAAGGAGCGGCGAGTGTTTGCAGGTTTCTCTTCCACCGATACATTTAAATGTTATTTCAACTTCACACCAGAGAGAAGTATTTTTTAAAAGGAGTGGTCAGTTGTTGGAAGAAAAGCCTGCACACACAGCAGTGTTCATTAATCCCACTTAGTATGTCGTAGGCAGACAAAAGGCCCCAAGGTCTGTAAAGGACTTGAAAGAAGAACAGAGAGTCGTTGTTAATGAGTGGGATTGAATGATGCCAGTGCAGCAATGCACTCGAAAGCTCAGTCTCTCTGCAAAATAAAATCCCAGCTTTGATTTCATGACTGTGACTCAGATGTTAAAATGGTATAAAAATGGCTGGACAATGTAATAAGTGAACAGGTCTTAGATCATTGTTTCACAGATAGAGTCTCGTTATTAGTAAGACAGTCACACTAGTGATGCAGTGCAGAGTCTTTAAAAAAAGGCACCATCACCATGCATCATAAGCAACTTCACTTGCAAGCTGTGACAAACGCTGTGTTAGGCCAAGATTTCTGCTGCATTTTCTTTTTCAAGTGACCAAGGGCACGATCTGATTACGCCCCAGTGTTCAGCTTTATACACTATGAAAACTCTGCCAACAAGTAGATGGCATGGCATGCAGGTAGAGGTCAAGGTATACCACATCTGTTTCGCCAACCCCCACTGTAGGCATGGTAAAAGGCAAGCTCTTGAGAGGCCAGTCTTGGGTAACCTGAGCAAAGGTAGGGAAGCAGGCTATAAAAAGACTCACCCATGATTACTGGCTCATGCAGTATGAGTGTTGGGCTCGACTTAACACTAATAGTTACCAATCTTACAGTCATCCCATCCTGAAGTATAGTTATTTCTGTGCCTTTGCTGACACTCTGCCTGCCATGGTTGTGGGCACTGCTTAGAAGAAACTTGGGGGGGGGACACACAGTGCAGGTGAAATATAGGGGGAAAAGTCATTTTAAATGAAGCTATCATATGCCTCAAGAGATTAAAAACTCAACTCACTGTGGTAAAGAAGAGCATTAACCCATCAACCTTAATGTTACGTCTAATTTGCCCTTTACCTATAAGATGTTTCTCATTTTAAAGTGCAAGCATCCCGGCAGAGAGAAGCACATCAATTAATCATGGGCCCATCATTAAGTTTTACTGTGTATGTATATAGGTCTGACCTAACCCTCTCCCCCTTCGCACTGGCTTTGCTGGTGTGTAAAATGGCTATTTCATGCATCTGGAAATGCAGGTTGCCCTCAGCGAAAGCAGACAGAAGGGACTTACAGAGATTTACTGGTGCCACTGAATAACCGCACTGTCTACCAGCGGAATAAGCATTTCCTGCTGTGGAATAAGAAAACAGTAAAACGAGAAAAAACGTCAAGTGTGCAATGACACAGAACCATGTTTCCAAGTTTTTTTTTTTTAATATTTAATTACCTGACTTAATGTCAGGCACAACATGTGTCTTGATTTAAAGCCTTTAAGAGGCTAAACAAGTACAGGAAGAAAAAAAACAACTTACAACTACCTCACAACCACCTCAACCTAGCTACAAAAACATTGTTAAAAGTCTACAGATGATAAAAACCACCAGCCCACCCACCCTCCACATTTCCCTTTATCAGAGCAGCCAATAGCTAGCACTCCTCTTTTTTCACGTGAGACAGGAAAAAGATTACCTATGAAATTAGTTACTGAAATGTCAAACTGAGTTAGAGAGGTTTGAAATTTGCCCCATTCTCTTACTTATGAGCAGTCCGGGGCGAGAATTCGAGACTATGGCCGTTTTTGCAGTCCCACTTGCCCTACTTTATCCGTGCCAAAATAAGCTATCGTGCACAGACACAGAAAGCCCTTTTGACACGGCTTTCTTTCCTCATTCTGTACACATGTTAAAAATAAGACAAGTGTCCTCAACGGTCCTGATGGTCTGAAGTGCGGCAGAACCAGAAATAAATATTGTCTAGTTGACGCCTCACCAATAAAAGTTTTTTTCTCAATTGTGCTTGCTTTTACCATGCTCTGATGGGGTTTTATCATCAAGAACACCACAAGTCAAACCTGTGTTGAGGGTCCAACTGTGGCTCAGCAGGTGACTGTTACACTCAACTCACCATTTTTGGAAGCATCTTTGTTCCTCAAGTGAGGTGGAATGTAACGCCCTAGATGGAGGGGGAAAGAAAACAGTTAAACACTAATTTATTTAAGACTAAGCTATGAATACATATACAAAAAAACACTGTTACGATAGAGTATTTATAATCAACTCTAAAGACCTTCCAATAAAACTGTCCAGTTTTCCTCAAAAGATAAAAACACACTACAATAAAGAATATCCTTGCTTGTTTTGTAAAAATTCATGTTGCAATTGTACATTCGTAACTTGGATGTAATCAATACCCCACATTATTTATTAAAAAAAAAATTCATGAGATTTTACATTGACATGTTAAGTCTGCTGTATTACTTACTGCCAGTTCCTCCGCCTTGTCCGTCAGAGTTCAAGTCTAGGGCAGCAAGCTGAAAGAAAAAAAATTTAATTGAAAATCAGGTGGTCATTCAACTAAAAGTCTGGTAAAAACACAGTACTATGTCTTTGAAATAACAATTTTAAGCAATTATCCAACTACAGCCGCATCGATTAATCTCAACTAATTTGTTGCTCGACAGAAAAATAATCTGCTATAATGTTTAGAACGAATAAATAATAGTCTTTAGTTAATTTTAAGCAAAAATGACAAATATTTGCTGGTTCCATTTTGTCAAATGTGAGGGTTTGAAGCTTTATCTTTGTTCTAAATGACAGTAAACTGAGCATCTTTTGGTTTGAGGCTGTTGGTCAAACAAAAACAATACCTTGCACTGTGGGAAATTATAATAATTCTTATATATTATGGACAAAAGGAAGAATAAAAATAACTCAGATTAAAGGATGGGTTCACAACTGTTCCAGATCCATCTTGAAACAGGGTTGGCTTGCTGTATTCATTCCCAAAGTTCATCCTGGGACATTTAGAGATTGATTCTTAATGCATTTTGATGGCGGACTAAATCCACAGTCCTCATTCTGAATATGTGAAACAAAAAGGAGGAAATTTTGCACTAATAAGATTTTAACTTTGGCTGATATCCACTTGGTTTGTCTAATGGAGACTAATGAAGCCTCATATAAGTGTCACATAAACTTTGGTAAATATAGAGGCCTGAATTTTCCCATCACCTCCATTACAAACGCAGGAAGAACTACCACAGCAAGTAAAACTCATTTCAATATTCATATGCACCCTCTTAATATTTTAGGGCATTATTAAAAGTTGTGAACCTATCCGTTAATTAATAATGGAAATCAATAGTTACAGAGCTACTATTCAATATCTTAGTTGGACAGTTGGACATGGACTGAGCGAATGTACAAAACATGATCAGACTCCTATAATTTTGCTCATTAAAACTGGCCTGGTTTATTCATCAAGCGACATGGAAAGCATGGCACAACCATTAAACAGGAAAACACTGACAAATTAAAATGACAAAAAAAAAATAAATAAATAAAATAATCTTTAACACTTGCAGTCAATAACCGTATACAAAGGTATGCTTCCTGAACGATTTATAAAGTTGAGAGAATTGCATTACAGAAAGGTTAATGGTCGCTATAAACCGTTGCCAACATTTTTTCCTGCGCCACGTTTCAGGTTGAGAAGGCCCAACATTAGCCGGGCTAACTTCGTAGGATACCGGCCGGGTCGCAAATGTTGGTTAACCCTCATAAATTTCCATTAATTGCAGTAACATTTCACAAGACGCGAATGACGTGTTATATTTAATTGTGTTTAAAGTCGCTCTTAACCATTTAAAAGAGTGGGACACGCAGTTAAAAAAGCTTGTTAGTTCGGTTTTCTGGCACAACGTAGTGACGAGCTCCGCCATCACAATCTTCTCTACGGCGACATCACCACCTCCATTTTACCCAGCCGCAGCGTTAGCTTAGCTCGCGGCTAGCTACTCTTTCCCTGACGAAACTACATGTGCGTAACGGAAAAAAAATCATCACATTTCTATGAGGAAAAAACAAACAAGTTAGAAGTACTTACCTGCTGATCTAGACCGTGTGGATTATCAATGACCACATGACTCATAACTAAAGAGAGTAGTGGGGGATTATTTCTGAAGAGAAAGGATTTTCTTTGTTAGCACGACCGGCTATCCTGTACGTTAACTTAGCTTTCCTTTTTCTGTATAAATTTACGACCTTGAGCCAACGGTTACTTATAAAGTTAGACGATTACGTTTACTTTAAATAAATAAAACTACGTTGTTTGTTATAAATATAAATGCCGTTCAAGTTTCCAAATGAAATGATGGCTGTGGCGCTGTTGAACAGATACCCCCTCCCGGCAGGCTTGACCGTGGTGGAATGAGACACCGAGCGCTCAGGTAGCGCGAGATATCGTCTCTGTAACCTCAGGCCAGCGGGTTGTTGGACGAAATATCGCGATGTTTCTACACGCCTCGGATTGGTTTCGCCATCAGCGGTATAAGCAGACACATGAAACCGTTCATTAAGGTTGTGTCATTACCGTAATGCATAACAGTGTGTCTTTAAAAGACCAGGAAGCGAAACTTAGATATGTTTATGGTTGTAAGAAGGAAAAAAACAAACAAACAAATAAAGAGGCAAAACAAGCGCAAAGAAACAGAAAAGACCTGCAAAAGAGATGCAAAATGACACTAAAGTGATGCAAACTTACCACAAATCGACTACAAAGACAAACAAAACAACTACAAAATGCAAAACGACATCAAAGAGATGAAAAATTACCACAAAGAGTCACAAACCTGCTACAAGGAGACACAAAATGACCACGGAGAGATGCAGAAGGTAAAACAAAAAGATGCAAAATAAAAATATGCACAATCACTACTATAAGAGGTAAAGTGACCCCATAGAGACACAAAAAGACGACTAAAGTAGAACTCCATAAAGATATGTAATGCAAAATGACAACAACGTGATACCAACAACCAAAAGTTTGGGTATTTTGCTTTTATATAGGAGCCATAGTGGGACTTTTACAGAACATGTGTCCAGGCTTTCATTGTCTCATACTCTGTCCACGACAAGGATACAGATCAGAGAGGCCTATATGTTGTATATATATATATATATATATATATATATATATATATACTATTCTATATATATTGTATATATACTGTATATTTACAAAAAGGTTTCCCCAAGTTGCTCAAAATGGGACATGTGACATCTGGAGTGGCTGGCCATCATATGGTTTCAAATGTCTTTCTAAGGTCAGGAGGGTCAAGCATAAGCTCAGCCAAAGCCTTCCCCCACCCCCCTTCTCTTCCACTCACCCCCCTCCTCTCTCTCTCTGTCTTTTCTCTAGCAGTGCGCCTTCTGTTCAGAGTACAGTCCAGCCTGTGAGGCCTGCTCTCGTCATTTATCCCCTGCTGTACGCTGCAGCAGGAGAGTGAGGGCTGAGGGGACCATATGTTGCTGGGATAAGGTACACCAGAGGTAATTGGTTACTAGGAGAAAGGTCAGCTGGTGAGAGATTTCTGAAATGACTTACGATGAGTGAGGCTGAGGCCTAGAAATCCCCCCTTTAACTCTGCCTCTTAAGACGTCCCTCCTCATGTAAATTTAATTGTGGCCTCCAAGTACATGTTTACAAGCCCTGCTGCACTTTTATACATGCCTCTACTAAAACCAGTCATTATTTATACTTTAGTATTTCCATTTTCTGCTACTTTATACTTCCAATCCACTACATTTCAGAGGGAAATAATATACTTTTTACTCCACTACATTCATTTGATAACTTTAGTTACTTTGCAGATTCAGATTAACAACATTCATTATTACAAGAAATGACTTTATTTATCACAGCTGGTTATAAAGTAGTGACAATTAGTCCCACCTTTACAAGCTGCAACATTAAAGTGAGGCACACATGAATGTATTAGTAATTAATGATAATCAATACATCAGTGTGAAATAAGTACTTTAAGTATATATTGATGCTAATACTGTTGGACTTTTACTTGAGTATTTTTACACTCTAGTATTGCTATGTGTGTGTACTGTATTTTTGTATACATGTATATGTGTGTGTGTGTAGTTTATTCACGCCTAAAGTACGTGCGTCATGTATCAGCTTGATTTCTCATCAACCATTAGTCATCCAGTGTATTTCCATACAGACATCACAATCAACAGGCTGCACCTCACTGCTCCAAATATGTTGCTCAACTTGTTACTAAACTGACAGAGCAGGTGTGAGGTGGAGACTAATTACATAAACCTGATGTTCATTATGTAATGTGTTTAGACTGAATATAATTTTACCTTTCTGTAGCTGTAGCTTCTCTGCTTTTTTTTCTAAACACTTGAATTCTAGATTTTTACTTGTTAATCACATTTCAAATATTCCCAACGCTAAATGTTTTAACAGACTTTTTAACGTGTGCTCCACAGTCTCGACGTTTGGACTCGCGGCTCCATCTTCTGGACAATATCATATTTCACACTTTGAGTTCAAACGGCTGTTCTACAGTAGGCGTACTTTTGATCTGAGTCAGTTTCTAACAGGTTTTGTGCTGCTTAGTTTCAATAACAGGAAATCTGGCTACAGCATACAATGATAACAACAGTACTCTCACAATTTGAGTCAACAGTTTGTGTATTTCCTGTTTCAACATTAAGACATGGGAGTTTGGTGTGGAAGAACTTGACTGGTCTGCACAGAGCCCTGACCTTTCCATCTCCACATGAGATCACACAGACTGAGAGCCTGACCTCATCGTCAACATCAGTTGGACCTCACTGATGCTGTTGTGTCTGAACAGGGAATCCCTGCAGCTGGTTCAACATCTCGTTGAAAAGACTGAAACCAGAAGAGTGGAGGTTCGTTAGAGCAGCGCGAGTGGCCACAAACTTTTGGCCATGTCATGTGACAGTGCCACCGTGTGGCTGCTGAGAGAACATCACCCCTGAATGAAACTTCAGCTTTACTGAATTCAAACCATTGACAACTTTATTGAGACAGAGACAGTAAAAAAAATACAGATTATAAAAGAAGAGAGAGAGAAAGAAAGAAAGATTCTCCACCTCAGCGCACACACTCACACACACACTCACACACTCATCCACACAATCACACACACAGTGTAGTGAATCAGTTTATCCATCAGTTCTCCTCTCTCGTCCGGGGCTGCAGGTATCCCATGATGCATTGTGTGATGTCACCAGCCAAACATGTACTCCATCGCTTTGGAAACAAAGCTGTCATCCTTCCTGGGCGTCTGTCTGTCTGCTACCACCTGAAGACGGACACACGGGTTTATTTCTAAAGTCGACCAGCAGCTGTTTTTGTTGAACCCAAAGCAAATGCAGATTTTCAAGTAGAGCCAGAGTGAGGTCAGAGGTCAGAGGTCACCTGGTAGTCGTTGCTGGAGCTCCTGTAGGCGGCGCTGAGCGGTCTGATGGCTGAGCGAGGAGTGGAGGGGAGGGCAGAGGAGGAGAAGGAGGAGGAGAGGGGAGAGGAGACAGCTTCACTGCTGTCCATCACACTCTGAGAGAGAGAGAGAGAGAGAACGTCACTGCTGCTCGGTTCAGGCTCCAGTGTCACATGATGTGAAGAACCAATCAGACGGCAGAGAAGCAGACAGACACACAGGTAGATAAAAACAGGTACTGACCTTGTCTATACACGGCTTCACTCCCACCATGATGGCGTCCCCAAACACTTTCCCATCCTTAGACAGAGCTTTCCTGGCCTGAAGCCTGGACTGATACTGAAGGTGCATCCAGTTACCAGGCGACGCCATCTGTCAATACATCATCAATACATCTATCAATACACCTGTACAATAGCTGTGGCTGTGTGTGCTGAGCTTGTGGACACTGATTCAGACACATCAACTCTGATCTCAGTCCAAAGCTTCCTCCTCACTGGGATCATTCTTATCGAAGTTATGAGGCTGTAAATGTAAAACATTAACTTTTTAATTCTTAATGGAGACGTTCAAAAAACGCCATCATCCTGTTTTACATTGTGCACCTGAATTAAACTGATCCAGAGTTCTAGGAGATTGTACAGTTATAATGCAGAAAACTCACATAACATTAATGGAGATCACAGCCAGCACTCATTGGCCTCTGTGTGTGTGTGTGTGTGTGTGTGTGCCTCACCATGTGTTTGAGGATGTTTCCGTACTGAGCGAACTGCAGCAGGATGTACGAGGCCGAAGCTGGAGGGAAACTAACACACACACACACACACACACACACACACACACACACACACAAGATGAATATTACATTCACACTATCTTCAACAGTAGGTCAGTATTATGACTTTGTTTAGAAATGAAAATACCCAAACACAGTGACCCAGGTCTGGTCCAGCTGATCGTCAGATGACAAAGACTCTCCCTGACTGTAGAAGGGATCCACCTGAGCTGGAGACAGACACACCTGCTGCACACCTGGAGACAGAGACAGGTAGGAGGAGAGATTAGAACATTATAGCCTTCATAAAAGTGGACTTTATGATACAACAGCAGTATTGGATTGCATTAAATTGAACAGCTGTACCTAATAAAGTGATCACTGAATGCGTTTACAATAAGGCAGCAAAAAAATACAAGTTAGACATTCTTAGTATTGCCTGTATATTGATTAGAGCTTGACTGATACATTGGCAGGTTGACAATTCGGCTGATGTTAGTGTACTGTATGTGTCTGTGTATTTGTTGATATTAGCAATTCTTTAAAAACAAATCTAAAGGTTTATGTCAAAAAACAGGAACATCTGCTGATATACAGTATTTTTCTTTTTTAAACTCTCAAATCCCTGTGTTGCTAAAGAGTCACTGCCCCTCCCTCCTCCTGCCTGGCTTTGTGCGGGGGGGTGGGGGGGTGGGGGGCGCAGCCAGAGAGAAAACAGGAAAGAGACAAACACAGGCTGTTGATACAATATTGGAAGAAAACAACTGTCTGGCAGGAGTATCGGTGTCAGTACTAATATCCGTGATACAACAGCTAGCAGTACCAGTAGTAATAGTATCAGAGTGTACCTGTTCCTGGAGTTGCAGCCTGACGTGCAGACAGAGGAGACTGCATAACTGGAAAGGACTGAAGAGAAAGAAAGAAGGAGAAAAAGAAAGAGAAAGAGAGAGAGAGAAAGAAAGAGAAAGAGAGAGAGAGAAAGACTCGGTCATTATCTGTCCTAATTGGTTCTTTTTAAACTATTATTATATATGCTTGTTGAAGAAGTGCTCTGCTGTGCAAAAAGATGATCAAGTAATAAGCATATTAACATTCGTTCTATTCCTTTACTCATTAAAGGTGAGTTATATATACATATATATGGTACACGGTACAAATGGTAT